GGTTAATCTGCCCTTGCCCTGTTGTGATTTGCTGTAAACTCTGTCAGTCCTTGCTATTGTAAAATTTCTATCATGGGAATAATTTGTATATTATTGTTATTGAGAGGTAGTTTGGCATAGTTCAAAAGCTTTGGAATCAAACAGAACTTGGCTTGAATCTTGGCTTCATTACTTAGTAGCTAATTTGGGGCAGTTCTCTTAGCTTCTCTGAGCCTCAGTTTCTTCATCTGTCAGATGAGGCAAATAATAGTTACTTATAAGGCCATATGAGGACTAGAAGTAGTATAATATTTAAAAGCTGGCACAGTGCCTTGCATATAAATGCTTAATAAATGATAGCTGGTATCATCATCATCATCTTCAGATTCCCACAGTTCTACTTACCTTTTGATGCTGGAGACCTAGGACTTCTGGGGTTCTAGAGAAAGATAGGCATGGCATTTTAGGGGTGCAGTAAAACCTCACGAACTCAGACTCCTAATTCAGAATTTGGTATTAGGAAACTGGGCTGCCACCCTCTGTGTTTACAGAGTATACTCCGAATGTCAACATGAGGGTATAAGGGCTGTTAAATGAGCAAGTCGTAACACTTCGGCCTCAGCATTTTTATAGCCACTTCTCACTGATGTGCCTGAGCCGACCTACAAGGGCTCCTGTACTCTGAGCCTTCTTTAGCAGCCACTTGGATTAAGTTATGAATGGCAGATGATCAACAAATCAAGTATTTTACTAAGTTTGAATGACATTTCCCTTCAATGAGTCCAAATTAAGGACTTCTAACTCCATTTTTACTCTTTACCCCAGTTCCCATTTCTCCAAGACCTCAAACTGAATTATGCAATTTAAGGTGGATATTCTAAGATTTTGACAACTCTGCTCAGTTCAGCAGCAATCTGTGTTGCAGGTATTGTACTAGGGGCTGGGATAGAGATGAATAAGCCATGGTCTCAGCCCTTGTGGAGGTCATAGTCAGGGGATTATGGGAGGGGGGAGACAGAAATGTCCTGGTATGGGCCCCTCTTTGGTGCACCCATACACCCAGTTCTGGCTCCTACCCTGGCACTTATCTACTTTCTGTATGTTTTTTCTTTCTAGAGATTAAACTCTGGAGCCAGACACTGTCACTTGTGTGATTGTGGGAAAATCATTTCCCGTCTTTGTTCACCTCTCAGTTTCTTCATCTGTGAAATGGGTTGTTGTGAGAATTAAATGGGATAATTCATGTAAAGCCTTAGAACTCTGTGTGGAGCATAGTAGGATTCCAGAAACACCTACTCTGTTTATTCATGATGGCAGATACTATTGCCTTGGTCGCTGTGCTGGTTTATATGTCAACTTGGCTAGGCATGATTCTCAGTGGTTTGGCAGACATTGGACTGATTGGCTCTTCCATGATGTAGTATAATGTAATCCCCTCCATGAAGAGATCTGCTATGAGCAGCCAATCAGTTGAAAAGGGAGTTTCCTTGGGAGTGTGACCTGCTTCCAGTATATAAATGGATATTCCAGCAAGGTTCTCTTTCTTGCTCTCATTCTCACTCTGGATCCTGCATCTGACTCGTCATAACCTGACGTTTGGTTCTCGGGACTTGAGCCAGCAGCCTGCCACATGACCTGCAGATTTTGGGATTCATCAGCTCCTGTAGCCCTGTGAGCCAGCAGTCTGCTATCTGATCTGGGTTTGTCAGCCCCTGCAACCATGTGAGTCAGAAGCCTCCATCCTGACACCTGACCCATAACTTGCCAGCCTCCACAACTGTGTAAGCTATTTCCTTGAATTAAATCTCTTTCTGTATATTTACATATATATGTTTCACTAGTTTTGCTTCTCTAGAGAACTGAGCCAAAGACCTCTGCCATCAATCCTGAGTGACAAGCACGATGCCTGGTACTTAGTAGGGAATCAGGAATCATTCGTTGACAGGATGGATGAATGAAGGTTGCACAGCCACCCAACACAGAGCAGAGTGTGGTGAGGGCAACTAAAGGAGTGTACACTTTATGCTCTGGGAGCCCAGGAGTTGTTGTTGTTAAGTGCCGTCAAGTCGGTTCTGACTCATAGTGACCCTATAGGACAGAGTAGAACTGCCCCACAGGGTTTCCAAGGAGCGGCTGGTGGATTTGAACTGCTGACCTTTTGGTTAGCAGCCTAGCCTAGGGGAGGGAGTTCTGACTGTATGTCTGGAGGGATTTATGGTGGTGATCATGCATGAACAGAGCCTCGAGGCATGCCTCCAACTTCAGTAGAAGCAGAAGGAGGTGGTGGATGGCCATCTGTACTGAGAGGAAGCATAGCATAATGACTAAGGGCCCAGCCTCTGGAACCAGGCTGCCTAGGCTTGACTCCTGCGTTCTGGACCTTGGGCAAGCTTTTTCACTTCTCTGTGGCTTAGATAATAATAGTACCTACCTCAGTTGGTGTTCTGAGGAGTATATGAGTTATTCTTTGTAAAGAACTTAAAAATACAATAAATATATGAAATAGAATATATTTTATATAAAATATAATAAATATAAATAAAATAAGGAAACAGCTCAGAGGTATGAAAGTATGGACATTAAGTAATATGGTAAGTGGAGATGTAGCTAGAAAAGTAGTTTGGAAACAGTTCACAGATGTCTTTGAATGTCTTCTTAAAGAATTTGGAATTAATCCATGTGGAGCGCATAAAATCCATTCTCATATGACTGAAGCACAATGGTGACTGCCTTTCTTTAAACAGGGCATGCACTCTTCAGGTTGCCACAATCTCCAACACTCCCTATCCCAACACTGTCTACTGCAGTTGGCCTAGGTTGAGACCTAAGGACCTGCATTTCTGACAAGTTCCCAGGTGATGCTGATGTTGCTGGTTCAGGGACCACACTTTGAGAACCACTGATTTATTGTATCTTGGACTCTAAGATGGGGAATCAGTTGCCGTTTATCATCAAGTTTGTACTATGGCTTCTCTTAGTCCTGGCACCTTTCATGCATTTATTTATTTCGTGCAAATTATTCTCATGCATTCTTGGCCCCTGTGGCATTTGAGCCTGCAATTTCTGGTATAATCAATATGGGAGGGCTGGGTCCAGAGGCCTCAAGAGACAAATGGGACAGAGAGAAAGAGATCTGGGGGAGACTAAGGTTCAGCCTGAAGCAGGGTGAGGGGTAGCTGAAGTTGTGGGCATGTGTGAGCTCACCCCATGGAGAGTGTGCAGGCAGAAATGGGTTGTGGGCGAACAGCAGAATATCGAGGGGGCACTGGCACATCCTACCTTAAAGGAAGGGTGAAAGAACAGTAACTGATGGAAGAGGCTGGGAGGAGCATTCAAAGAAGGAGGAGAGCAGAGAGAGAGAGCTGATGGAGAGTTCTCTGTGTTATTATTAGAGACAGGGCTGTTGGCAAACATCTGAGGCCAAAGCTTGAATAGTTAAGCTCTCAGGTAAGCTCACAGTCTGTGGGAAGTCAGGAGCAGGTATCCTGTTACCCTTGCCCACAGCATGCCTAGTAACCTGCTGTTGTTCCGAGGCAAGGCTTGTTGTGAGCAATTGTCTCTGAGGCTCAGGTGACATCGTAGCTTGCAGCTAAACATGGTGAGTATCATGTCGCCTAGTCCTTTTTTTTTTCATAACCCTGCATGTTAACTAAGAGTGTGCTGGTGTTTCCCTTCATGGCCATGGTGGGGGTACTTGCAGCTGGATATTTTATTTCTAGAGTACATGTTGGGGAAGAGTATCTGAGAAGGGAAAGATGGGAGCTAAAACTGAAAAGGCAGGCGGGCGGCATTCAGTGGGTGATCTTGAAGGCCAGGGTTTGGACTTGGTACTATGGGCAGCAAGGAGCTATGCTGAGCTCTTGAGATGTGGTTAATATACCTGGGTAACTCCAGTGCCTGGCACTAGGCCTGACACACATAGGCATTCTGTAAATGAAGGGAGAATTGGTAAATGAATGAATTGGAGTATTGAGGGACAAGAAGTTTTGGAACAAATAACTCCAAGAGTCAGTGTTGGGTGGTTCAAAGTCCACAAGCTTTGGAGCTGGAAACACCTGCAGTTGTACTTCAACTCTGGTCTCCATACCTGCTATTTAACATCTCCAAGACATCAGTTTCAGTGTTTGTGAACCATAATGATACTTGTTTGTGGGTTTGTAGTTGGTATTCGTATCTAGCACAGAGGCTGGTACTTCCTGCATAGGGGCCAGTATAATTACTGAGTGCTTTCCCTAACATCTCCTCTGATCCTGTCCTGTGAGGTAGGCAGGGCAGGCCTTATAACCACCTTTTACAGATGAAGACAGTGAGGTCCTGTGAGGTGCCTTTCCTGGAGGCCTTCCCTCTTTGCATACCCAGCCCTATTGTTTCTTCAAGGGCTTTCTCTTTCGTGAGGTCCATGACCCTGTAATTACAGGAGAAGGAGAGGGCAGGGTGTGGTGGGCATTTGGTGGTTTTGCACCCATGGTAAGTTGCTGCACTTCATCCTGAGGTAGATGTAGGCTGCAGAAGGACCGATTCATACATTTGACAACTCCCCCCAACTGAGACCTCTGACAGGCACTTATACAGTGCAAGTGGGTCTAGGGGAGGGGGATTCACTGAGGACCTACAATGTGCCAGGCTCTGAGCTGGGTGCTTCAAATGCCTCATTCCTAACTACAAACCTGCAAAATGAGCCCTATGGTCCCCAGTTTACACAGGAGGCTTTAAGATGTGGAGGGACTCGCCCAAGGCTGAGGATTTGAATCCACATCTGTGTGATTGCAAAGCCCACACCCTTCCTTTCCACAGCTTTGGCCACAGTAGCACATATCACACATACCACAGCTGCTGGGCACACACGTCACCTCACTCCACTTAGGCTCTTGCTGGCCAGGTGTGTGTTGCATGCAGCCACATGCACCTTGACTAACTTGGACTCAATTCTAATATTCCAGGCCCTCTCTCAGCTCGTTGACCTGCTGCCGTGGCCTTGGTGGAACCCTCCTTCGGTGGTCAGTCCCAGGCTTCTCCGTCCCATGCAGTCCTCTGCAGCCACTACTGAGGGCCTCCGGATCCCCCTCTTTGGGGCCTACACACTCCCTGCCTTCAAGTTCCAGCCGCGCCATGAGAGTGTGGACTGGAGGCGCATTAGCGCCCTGGATGTGGAACGGGTGGCACGGGAGCTGGACGTGGCCACCCTGCAGGAGAACATCACTGGCATCACCTTCTGCAACCTGGACAGGGAGACGTGCAGCCACTGTGGACAGCCTGTGGACCCAGTGCTGCTCAAGGTGCTGCGCCTGGCGCAGCTCATCACTGAGTACTTGCTGCACTGCCAGGATTGCTTGAGTGCCAGCGTTGCCCAGCTTGAGGCCCGGCTGCAGGCCAGCCTGGGTCAGCAGGAGCGTGGTCAGTGGGAGCTGGGCCGCCAAGCTGACAAGCTCCAGAGCATGAGAGAGGAGAGCCGCTGGCGCCGCAAGATGATCAGCACCCTGCAGCAGCTGCTGCTGCAGACAGGCACCCATAGCTTCCACACGGTGAGGAATCTCCAGCACGGCCAGTAGAGTGGGAGGACTGTGAGCCCTAGCCACTGGGCTACCGCCCTGGATCCCGAGGCCACTAAGGGATATTCTCACTGATTAGGAGCAGATTTTAGAGATGCTGCTCATGGCCAGAGAGCCAGAGGGTGACTGATCAGGTTCTACCAAGTGTGTGTGTGTGTGTGTGTGTGTGTGTGTGTGTGTGTGTGTGTATATGTGTGTGTGTGCATGGAGACTACAGGTAGTCCCTGACTTCCTGACTTACCATGGAGTTCCATTCCGAAGACTCCAGTGTAAGTCGGTCAAGATGTAAGTCAAATACCTCTTTTTCTTTTTTTTTTAGTTTTCATTATTATTGCCTTTTATTATCAGTATCTTTATAAAGCCGATCTTTGAACATCTGCGAGTGAACATCTGAGGATGATAACATCAGCAAATTACATGCTGCAACACTGTATGTAGTACGTATTACTAATGATAATATGTACAAAAAAAAAAGATGTTTGTAAGTGCAGTTCACTGTAACTCGAATACATCGTAAGTTGGCAACCTGTATGTGTAGGGGTTATGTATGCATAGAAAGTGTATGTATTTATGGAGAGAGTGTGTGTCTGGTGTGTATATGTGTGAATGTATGGAGGGTGTGTGTTTTATGGATGATGTGAATATGTGCGTGTGTCTAATGTGTGTATGTGAATGTTTAGAAAGTATATCTATGTATGGTGTGTATGTGTAGAGTTTGTGGTGTATAATATATGCTTGTTTGTATGTATAACAAAAACAACAAAAAGAAACCAAACCCATTGCTGCCAAGTTGATTCCAACTCATAGCGAGCTACACTATAGGACAAAGCAGAACTTCCCTATAGGGTTTCCAAGGCTGTAAATCTTTATGGAAGCAGACTGCTACATCTTTCTCCTTCAGAGTGGCTGGTGGGTTTGAACCATCAACCTTTCCGTTAGCAGCCAAGTGCTTAACTACTACACCACTAGGGCTCCTTCCAGAAGTGTGTATATAAGGATGTATTTATAGAGGGTGTGTGATTTAATCATGGGTGCATATGTGTATATTAACAGAGGGTGTGAGTGTGTGTGTATATATGGAGGGCTAAGTGAGTATGGTTTGTGTGTGTATGTAGAGAGGGCGGTGTGTAAAGCCTTGTGTGTATGTGTGGAATCAATTGTGGTGGGGGGCTGATGGCTCCAAGCCCTTTCTGGAAAATAACTCCGTTATCCAACCGAGTGACAGTTCATTATCCAGTGTGGCATTTGAGCGTTTGCATCTGTCTCCATGGAAAGTGTAGGTTGAGGACACTCACCCTTTAATAAACCATCATGGCGACCAGGTCCTGTGCCAGGCTCTGAGGATGTAGGCACAAGTCATGCTGGTTCAGGTCTTCACGGAATTCATAGTTTTGGGGTGGGGGAATGAAAAGAATCATCATGATACAATATTAATTGAATGGTAATTGATATAATACAATATTAATTATGATTTAAAAAATGGGTGAGAATCCTTTCAGTAGTAGGTGACAAAACAGTAACCTAACTGGGCTTAGGTCAATAGGGAACTTATTGATTAATTTAACTGTAAAGTCCATGGGTGTGGTTGGTCTCAAGTGTGGCTTGCCCCAGGAATCAGATGATGTCACCAGAATCTCGTCTCTTTCTCTGCAGCTCTAGGCTCCTCTTCCTCTGTGTGGGTTCCATCCTCAGAAAGATTCTGTTCCTTGTGGTGGCAAGTTGGTCACTGCAATGCCAGCTGCTCATTTTCCTAGATTCAAGGCTGGCATGGAAGAGGGCCTGCTTTGGTCCCAGAAGCACAGCCAATGTCTCACCATGTTTCATTGACTGTATTTTTGCCTCCTGCCCATCTCTGAACCAATCACAAGGCCCAGAGATTGCAGTTTTTGATTGGCTTCCATGGAGCCAGGGATAGACTGAAGGACTGAGACTAAGGGAGAGGGTGATTCTCCTGAGGAAAGCTGAGGTGCTGTTATCAAAGGAAGAAGGAGGGGCTGCCATTCTTCCAAAAGTGAACAAATGTCCACTACAGGTCAGGAAAGTGTTAGGTAAGATAAAAATATAACTGAGGAGTTGTGGGAGCATAGAGGAGGGAGGAAGAGAGTCTTCCCAAGGTGGTTTTTAAGTCGAGCCTCGAATGCCGAGCACAGTTTTGTGAATGAGTGTTATAGGCAGAGACACCAAGGTGCCATGGTGAGAGGATGCTCAGTATGATGGAGGATGGGTTTTCAGTGGCTTGGGGGTGAGGTTTGTGTGGAGGTTGAAAGATGGTTAAAGATGAGACAGGAGATAATGGCAGGGCTAGATCATAGTGGCCTTGAATGCCATACTAAGGAGTGTGAATTTTAGTCAGAAGGCAGTGGGTAGCTCCCCAAATTCTGGTGCTTGGTTTGTGGGTGTGCTGTTTGTAGTGAGAAGGGGGAGGAGAGAATGGTGGAATGAGAGAAGAGGCTTGTAATTTGGGATAAGATGCCTTATAAAATATCCTCTACCCCATCCAACTCATGTTCTAATAACTAGAGGTTCGTTTATGTCACTTTAGAACTACAGAGTACGCAAAGTCTGTCAATCCAGGCTGTATCTTTTTGGGTAGGGTTTGACTGTGGGTGACGGAAAACCCCAAATAACATTTGTTTAGACCATATAGAAGATTATTTCTCTCTCTCATGAACAAAATCCAGAGATAAGCAATCCAGGGATGGTATGAAATGCCACAATCATCAGGGACCCAGTTTTTTCTATGTGTTGCTCTCTAAGCCTCATCATATGGCTCCTGCCTCAAGGTCCACGATGGCTGCCTGAGTTCCAGCTCTCAGGTCTACATTCTATCCAGCAGGAGGAGGGAGTGTGAGGAATGGAATGACTCCTTCTTTAAAGACACTTACCAGAAGTTGCCTGTACCACTTTTTCTTAGATGTCATTGACTAGTGCTCAATCACACGGCCACACCTGGTTGTAAGGGAGACTTGCAACCTTCCTTGGCCTCATGGCCAGCTACAGATCAGGGTTTCTATTACTAAGGAAGAAGGGGAAAATGGATATTGGGGAACAACTGGCAATTTCTGGCTCATTTGCCTTTGTGCAAAGATAGGTTTTATTTAATCTGCCCTCTTACTCTGATTGACTGGTAATGGAAGCTTGCAAAGCTATGTTGAGAAAGATTTCTAAAGTTTTACAGTGGACATGATAGGTATGATAGACTGGCAGTGTCTGAGATGCATTCAGAGAGGGATGTGAAATTACAGGTGCTATTTATTTGCTATTTATTTGCCTTTGATGGTCTCTACCCTGGGTGGAACCTGGACATTTTTTTTTTCTAAATTTTCGTTATGGAAAATTTCAAACATATACAAAAGTATAGTGAGTAATGTAATGAACCTCCATCTACAACCACCCAGCCCAACAGTTACCAACTCATGGCCAATGTTGTTTCATCTTTTCCTGTACCCACTCTCCCCCACTCCTGGATTATTTTAAAGCTAATTTGTTATATAATTTTATCTGTAAATCTTTCAGTATTTGTCTAAAAGGCAAGGACTCCCACTTTTAAGCATACACACAATATTATTACCACACACTCAAAAATCAACAAAAATTACCTCAATGTCGTCAAATGTTCAGCCAGTATTCCCTGTCCCCCAGGGCACTGGTAGTTTTTTAAATCTCCCCGGGTGATTCTAATGTGCAGCTGGGGTTGGTGTCACCGCCTTACTCAGTAAATCAGATTCTTCATTTCTGAAGCAACTCAGTGCTCCTGAGGGAATAGGAGTTTTTGTGTGGGGAGAACCCTGATGACTCAGGTGATCCTAATCATGCTGTCCCCACTGCGTCCTCTCTGTGTAGTGCCACCTGTGTGACAAGACGTTCATGAACGCCACCTTTCTCTGGGGCCACATCCAACGCAGGCATGCAGGCATGACGGAAGGCGGTGAGTCCATGCGGCAGCCCAGGGCCCTCCTGGGACTGTGGAAGGGGCTGGGGCTGGTGTTTAGTGGAGTGGGGGTGGAACATACACCAACAAAACTGCCTTCAAAACCCTATCATCCAGTTGAGGATGTGAGACCTGCCCATGGGACTGGGCAGGGTTTCTGACCATGTGTGTTGGGGAGAAAGGGTTGGGAGTCAGACAGGTGGGTTCCAGTCTTTTTCCCTTTCTATTGCCCAATTACTTCCCCCTCCCCTGCTGCCCCTGAGTCTCAGTGGCTTCTGCTGTGAGTAGGGGCAGTCAGACCAAGTGACTTTGAAGGGCCATTACCTCCCAGCCTTCTGAGAATCTGCCATCTCTGATGCTAACTACCAGTTGCCATCAGGTTGATTCCGACTCATAGCAATCCCATGTGTGTCAGGGTAGAACTGTGCTTCGTAGGGTTTTCAGTGGCTGATTTTTTGGAAGCAGATCACCAGGCCTTTCTTCTGAGGTACCTCAAGGTGGCCTTGAACTGCCAACCTTCTGGTTAGTAGTGAAGCAAGTTAACTGTTTGCACCAGCCAGGGACTCCAATGCTTACTACAAATGAACTTAAATGGGACAAATGAGCAACTGACCATTTCTTTGACTTCTGTATTTAACATGAACTTACCATGACAGGGCTCGGTGGTGCAAGTGTTAAGTTAAACAAAAGGTTAGTGGTTTGAACCCACCCAGTGGCTTTGAGTGGGAAAGACCTGGAAATCTGCTCCTGTAAAGATTTCAGCCAAGGAAATCCTACTCTGTCACATGGGGTTGGTATGAGTCAGAATAGATTCGACAGCACACGCCAACAACAGTCATGACTTAATCAACTTAATTTTACCTTTAAAATTCCAAAGTGAGTAGCAAAACTGTATGTTTTCCCCATGAAGAGATTTGCAGATTTCATTCATTTTTTTGAGATTCAACAATAAATATCTGTTAAATGTATAAATATAAAAATCCTTTTAACTAAAACATTTTTCTTATTTTTCCATCTTTTCAACTTTCGAACTGCCAACCTTTCAGTTAGCAATCAATCGCTTTACCACTGTGCCACCAGGGCTCCTGAACAGGCTTAGAATTTTAAGATAGTGCTATTTACCTAATTCTGTGCATTTATTATGTGTCTAATTCTTCTTGGAGCTGCAGTAGAAGTTGCTAAGGATAACCAGATTTTCCATTTCTTAAGTAAACTTCTTTTGATGAAAATATGTCTTTGATATAGAAAATATAAATACAGAAATATAGAAAAGAGAAAATAACAATCATGACTAATATCACCAGTAAATATTTTAGTGTATTCTCTGTCAGTTTATTTTTCTATGTACATATACGGTCATCATATAATAAGCAGTTTTGACCACTGCTTATTTTCATTTAACAATATATTTCCCAGTGTCATGAAATCATCTTTGAAAGCATGATTTTTACTTTTTTTTCTTCCTTATTATACTTTAGATGAAGGTTTACAGAATAAACTAGTTTCTCATTAAACAATTAGTACACATAATGTTTTGTGACATTGGTTACCAAGCCCACGATATGTCAACACTCTCCCTTCTCTACCTTGGTTTCCCTATTACCAGCTTTCCTGTCCCTTCCTGCCTTCTCGTCCTTGTGCCTGGACTGTTGTGCCCCATTAGTCTCATTTTGTTTTATGGGCCTGTCTAATCTTTGGCTGAAGGGTTAACCAGGAGTGACTTCATTACTGAGCTAAAAGGGTGTCTGGGGACCATACTCTCGGGGTTTCACCAGTCTTTGTCAGGCCAGTAAGTCTAGTCTTTTTTTTTGAGTTAGAATTTTGTTCTACATTTTTCTCCAGCTCTTTCCAGGACCCTCTATTGTGATCCCTGTCAGAGCAGTCAGTGGTGGTAGCCAGGCACCATCTAGTTGTGCTCGACTCAGTCTGGTGGAGGTTGTGGTAATTGTGGTCCCTTTGAACTAATCTTTCCCTTGTATCTTTGGTTTTCTTCATTCTTCTTTGGTCCCGAAGGGGTGAGACCGGTGGAGTATCTTAGATGGCCTCTCACAAGCTTTTAAGACCCCGGATGCTACTCACCAAAGTAGAATGTAGAACATTGTCTTTGTAAACTGTGTTATGCCAGTTGAGCTAGATGTTCCCCAAGACCATGGTCTCCACAGCCGTCAGCCCAGCAATTCAGTCCCTCAGGGAGTTTAAGTGTGCCTAGGGAGCTTTCAGGACCTTTCCTCGTACAAGCAGTGCTGGCCTCCCCAGCATTGTGTACTGTCTTTCCCTGCACCAAAGTTACCAGTTATCTATTGTCTATTTAGTTCCCCGCCCCCATCCCTTGTAACCAACAAAGATTGTTTCTTTTTGGGTGTAAACTTTTTCATGAGTTTTACAGTAGAGGTCTTATACAATATTTGTCCCTTTGTGATTGACTTATTTCACTCAGCATAATGTCCTCCCGTCTGATCCATGTTATGAGATGCTTCACAGATTTATGATTGTTTTTTATCGTTGCATAATACTCCATTGTGTATATGTACCATAGTTTGTTTATCCATTCATCTGTTGATGGGCATCTAGGTTATTTCCATCTTTTTGCTCCTGTGAACAGTGTTGTGGTGCACATGGATGTGCATATGTCTATTTGTGTGATGGCTCTTATTTCTCTAGGATATGTTTCTAGGAGTGGGATTGCTGGATCGTATGGTATTTCTATTTCTAGCTTTCTAAGGAAGTGCCATATCATCTCCAAAATGGTTGTATCATTTTGCATTCTCCCCAGCAGTGCATAAGTGTTCTGATCTCCCCACAACCTCTCCAACATTTGTTATTTTGTGTTTTTGTTTTTTTTTTTTTATTTCTGCCAGTAATGTCGGGGTGAGATGGTGTCTCATTGCGGTTTTGATTTGCATTTCTCTAATGGCTAGTGATCATGAGCATTTCCTCATGTGTCTGTTAGCTGCTTGAATGTCTTCTTTGGTGAAGTGTCTTCATTTCCTTTGCCCATTTTTTAATTGGATTATTTGTCTTTTTGTTTTAAAGGTGTTGGATTTTCCTGTAGATTTTAGAGATTAGACCTTTGTCGGATTTGCAGTAGCCAAAATTTTTTTTCTAGTCTGTAGGTTCTCTTTTTACTCCTTTGGTGAATTCTTTTGATGAGCATAAGTGTTTAATTTTTAGAAGATCCCCGCTATCTAGTTTATGTTCTGGAGTTTGTGTGTTGTTAGTTATGGTTCGTATTCTGTTAATGTTGTGTATTTGGGCCTCTAGCATTGATCCTGTTTTTTCTTCTATGATGTTTACAGTTTTTGGTATTATATTTAGGTTTTTGATCTATTTAAAATTAATTTTTGTGTATAGTGTGAGGTATGGATCCTGTTTCATTTTTCTGCAGATGGACATCCACTTTGCCAGCACTATTTGTTAAAAAGACTGTCTTTTCCTGATTTGATGGACTTTGGGCCCTTGTGGAAGATCAGGTGACAGTAGGTGGGTGAATATACTTCTGGGTTCTCAATTCTGTTCCATTGGTCAATGTATCAGTTGTTGTACCAGTACCAGGGTGTTTTGACTACCATAGCTGTATAGTAGATTCTGAGCTCAGGTAGTACAAGTCCTCCCACTTTATTCTTCAATAGTGCTTTATTTACCTGGGGCCTCTTCCCTTTCCATATAAGGTAAATGGTTAGTTTCTCCATCTCTTTACAGAATGCTGTTGGTATTTGGAGCAGGATTGCATTGTATTTGTAGATTGTTTGGGTAGAATTGACATTTTCACAGTGTTGAGTCTACCTATCCATGAGCATGTTATGTTTTTCCATTTATGTAGATCTCTTTTGGTTTCTTGCAGTAGTGTTTTGTAGTTTTCTTTGTATAGGTCTTTTACATCCCTGGTTAGGTTTATTCCTAAGTATTTTATTTATTTATTTTTTAGGGGCTATTATAAATGGTATTGTTTTCCTGATTTCCTTTTTGTAGTTCTCTTTATTGGTGTACAGGAATCCAGCTGATTTTTGTATGTTTATCTTGTATCCTGCTACTCTGCTGAATCTTTCTATTAGTCCCAGTAGTTTTCTCATGGAGTCTTTTGGGTTTTCTCTGTATAGTATCATAGCATCCACAAATAGGGACAGATTTACTTCTTTGTTACCAATTTGGGTGCCCTTTATTTCTTTTTCTTGCCTTATTGCTCTAGCTAGGACTTCCAGCACAATGTTAAATAGGATTGGTGATAAGGGGCATCCTTGTCTTGTTTCTGTTCACAAGGGGAATGTTTTCAGCCTCTCTCCATTAAGAATGATGTTGGCTGTTGGTTTTGTACAGATCCCCTTTATTATGTTGAGGAACTTCCCTTTTATACCTATTTCATTGAGAGTTTTTTTAATCAGGAATGGTGTTGGACTTTGCTGAATGCCTCTTCTGTGTTGATTGAGATGATCATGTGATTCTTTTATTTATGTGGTGGATTACATTGATTGATTTTCTAATGTTGAACCATCCTTGCATACCTGGCATGAAGCCCACTTGGTTGTGGTGTATTATTTTTTTGATATGATGCTAAATTCTATTGGCTAGAATTTTGTTGAGAATTTTTGCATTTATATTCATGAGTGTGATGGTTAAGATTGTGTGTCAACTTGGCTGGGCTATGATTCTCAGTGTTCATATGTGATCACCCCCATGATGGGATCTGCTGTGAGTAGCCAATCAGTTGAAAGGGAGTTTCCTTGGGCGTGTGGCCTGTATCCAAATATAAGTGGATGTTCTTGCTTTTGCCTACTCTGGATGCTGCAGCTGCCTCCTGTTTGTCTGACCTCTGGTTCTTGGGACTTGAGCTAATACCTTATCTGCCGATCTTGGAATTCATTGATCTTCACAGCCGTGAGCAAGAGCCCTGCTCTTTGACCTGCCAATCTTGGGTTCTCCAGCCCCTGTGGCTACGTGAATCAGGAGAAGCCTCTATCCTGATCCATGGACTGGGGACTTCCCAGCCTTTACAATCATTT